CCTGCTGACTGAAGGTAGCTTCATTCCCATCACTGCTATTACCTGCCTCCTCCTCTTGCATGGCTTCATAACTAAAATAATAGGTGTCAAAATGAAGATGGCCTTTATGTATTTCATTGTCCTGTCTCTCTATATTAAAGTGGCTGGCAATGTGGGGCTCTACCATATCTTGCTTTTCAGAAGAGAACACCATTTCCTGAGGCACAAACTCCTCTTCTCCCAAAGCTGAATCATGCCCTACATTTTTCCAGTTCAGCTGTTCAGAATGATTTTGTTCAGTGTCATTTCTGCTAACATGTGGGTCTATGTAAGGACTGTTAATGCCTTCTCCTCTTTGGAGCTCAACATTATCATCAACACTTTGTGTTCCCTGGATATTGTTCTCAGCAGCATCATTGCTCTTCTGGAGACTAGTATCCTCTTGGTTTAGCTGATTATTAGATTTATCCTTATGAGTGCCTTGGATATTGCTATCAATGGTAGACACCTCTTCAGTCTGATCCAGTCCACTTGTAAACTTAATTAATTTTGTTTCCTCCAGGTGCCCATAGTTTCTGTTCTCACCATTTTGTTTGTTCCCCACATCATTCTCAGAGCTGTTGCTTAAGACTTCTTTGTCTGTGTCAATGACATTAAAACTGGAAATACTTGCCTCATATTCACTTCCAGGTAGATTGGCACTCCTTTTAATCTGCCAAAGGGTCACAGCAGATAGCAGTATTACTTTACCAAAGCAAAATAAATGTTAAATAAGATATACATCACAAGATACAATAGCGCTGAAGAAAGTAACTTCGACATGCAAATTAATTATTATTAATAATTTCCTAATAGTTGGGAAAATCCACTGTAATTTGCACAATACCCATCATGCACTATAGAAAGATGTTAGTTAGAAGACAGTGAATCCAGCACCAGCATTAGACCAGTAGAAGAGTCCTTTGATATTGTAATAGTAACAGGTAAATTTCAAGTCAGGGTTATTTCCCCTTACAGACTTCATTAGGAGCAGTTTGATTAAAGACTTATGATTCAGAATTAAGAGTCTAGTGTATATAGTTAAATGCAAAGTCAGAAATTAATTTGCTCATCACTTGTTTTTGGGTTTTTTGCAAAAAAGGTTTAAGTAAAATTAAAAGCATATGAACACAGTATCAAAATAGCGTATCAGTGTTATAGATATAAAACACTGATACACTATTTTGATACCATATATATGTGTGTGTATATATGTGTGTGTGTGTGTGTGTGTAGAGAGAGAGAGAAGAAAGATTCAGACAACTTAGACCTCTCTGATGAAATAGAAGAGATCAAGATAAACAGCATTCTTTGTTAAATTTTGCAAATTCACCAATTTACACTGCGGATGCAACTACAATATAACACATGAAAATAGGACAGTCATTTCAGTAATGGACTGAATGACCATTTCAGGACTAGCTCATGAAATCCTTGTAAATTCCTAAGTCTTTCCATAGGCAGACAAGGTTCCTTGGGTGAATTTGATATCTTTTATTAGACCAACGCAAATGGTTGGAGAATAGTTATTAAGCAAGCTTTTGGGTTCAAAAACCCTTCGTCAGGCTAAGGAAGCTTTGAACCCGAAAGCTTGCTGAATAACTATTCTCCAACCATTTGCGTTGGTCTAATAAAAGATATCAAATTCACCCAAGGAACCTTGTCTGCCTGTGTCCTTAGACCAACACGGCTACAACCCAAACCCCTGTAACTCTTTCCATGACACTTGGACATAAGCGCCAAAAGTGCAAACCTATGAAATTAAGTTTGTTCTCAGCAGTCACTTCCCAGTTCTAGAACTCCTTCTGCCTTGCAGCCTGTCAGAGCAGGGGAGCGGGGAGTAGGCATCTTCTGGAAACATTTTAAGATCTTTTTATATGGGCAGGAGGAGTCAAGTTGGGCTAGCACTGTTTGGGGAATCTATTTTTTGTAGTTTTTTATACACTAGTCTATTTTAATGTGTTATCTGTTTTTAATAATGTATTTAATTTTTAACTGTAAGTTTAAAAATTACAGTTAAAAGCCTACCTGAGCTGTCTCTGGGGAGGGTGGCCTATAAATCTAAAAAGTAAATAAATTAATGGATTATACCAATCATTTTAGTGCAGTATGCTACTTTGTTTTTTCATACTTACTGGAGAAGCAGAGGTTATACCTAGAACATGTATCATCAAAAGCAGAATATTCATGTCAGAAACTACTTCCTATAAGAAACAGAAAGTATATTACTTCTTATCAATGCCACTATATAACAGAGACATAATATTTGATAAATCCAGGTGGGCACATTGTCAAAGCACAGGATTTAACAAAGCAGGTTGAAGTACACTGTCAGAAAGCTACAGATCTCTCTTTAGCAGCAGGTGTTGGCACCACCCTCTAGGATATCCAGACTGAATCACAATACTGAATCATTTATGCTATGTGTGGCTTGTTAATTTTTGCCTTTTATTGAAGAGATGTGTTTGGTTTGATTAAAAGTAATGGAGCTTGGGAGAGAGAGGTCTATATCAGAAAGCTCTTGGGATAGGTCAAATTAGGACAAAGTTGACATGGGTTGATGTTATCAGAGTTAACAACCTCCCCACAACCCAAAAAAAATAATTCCAGGCTGGGGACATATTTGGACTAAACCGTGTGTGTTTGCTCTATTCATAACAAGGTGACAGCTTTGCTTAAGCAGGAGACAGCAACTTCTGACACGGAGCTGGATCTGACCCACAAAAAGGTTGGATCCAGCCTGCAAAGGTCCATTCTACCCAGGGGCAGCACAAGGGAGTGGAAGCAAGCAGGTGCACTATGCTGCCCATCCCCTCCACAGTACACCCCACTGCAGCCCTCCCTGCACTTAACCAAGCTGCAGATCTTCCCTCTCTCCATTGCCAGTGGGGACAGGAATCACTGGTAAGAACAAGAACATGTGGCTTGGGCAGCTCAGGGGATGGAGATTTGCCTATCCCTGTCTTAAGCTACTCCCTTCTTTTGCATCAAGCAAACTCTCATCCTTCAAACCCCTGCATAAAATATTTTTTGTTATGGGCTTCACTTCAAGTCTGAGCTGCTTTCCAATGTACATTTAAAGCCTCAGGTGTATCTGATGGGTCTCATCTCCATCTCCCTTTTTTCCAAATTCTGTAATCTTCTAAGTAAGAGAATGTCTCTAAATTATAACTTTTACCACTACATCTTCTCTCTCAAAAATGGCTACAAAAAAATCGACTAATCCCAAAACCCATGAATACAAATCTAAGGAGGAAAGGTTACTAGCACATCCCTCTGAACTGAGTCTTTACCTATCACTTTCCTATTTCCCCTTTTCTGCTGCTCTTTTAACAAGTCTCTGTGATTATCTCAGGAGGTTTCATTTCTTTTTCAGACCAATGAAGTATCAGATCCAGTTTCTGATTTGTTTTTGGTGGGAAGCTTCTCCTCCAAGTCTTGATAGACTTGAGTCCTTATGCTGGGATCTAACTGATTTGCACTTTTGCCAGTTGTGCTTCTGCTCAAAGTTCATTAGGTCCAGACTGCTGAGACTGATTTCCTTTTTCTGCATGATAGTATTTGCGTGTGTGTCTATAGGTACATTTTCTCCTACGGACATGGTTGCTTCTTGTGTTCTGGAACAATTGGTTTCTTCCTAAGAAAAATGTCCAGATTTGGGCAGTGACAACTGAGAAGATCATCTGAAGGCATGAATTTTCTTCTACTAAGAGCACACACTTAACTGGATTTGGTTTATCACAAGGCACCAGATGTGAAATTGATGTAATCTCCTTAGGTACCACAAGGAATGGGAGTTTGTCTATTCTGTTCTTATACCGGATGCTATCAGTGCATCCACCTTTCACTGGGCATTTATATACATGCTCTAGGCAAAGGGCAGAGTTGTGGGGGGGAAAGTGCACTTTAATTAGGGTGGCTGCTCTAATTAAAGTACCTGAAGCATCTCATGTATCAGTGTCCCTGCACTGAAAAATGGCAGAGGGGGCACTTTAACTAAAGCTTGTCAAACGAGCTTTACTTAAAGCGTCCCCACTGCCATTTTTCAGCACAGGGACGCTGATACACAAGATGCTAGAGCCTGCTGGAGCATGGCAATTCCCATGTTCCAGCAGACTCAATTAATCCCACTGTAATTACAGTGTGTCGGAGCAGCCTCGCTGCTTATGTATAAGCGCCCTTTGTTCCCAAATAGCAAGTTACTTTAATGTTTGTTGAATTTGCTTTTGGTTTCAATTTTAATTTTCTATATTGATGCTCTGGTGAAATAACTGGAGCTCCAGTCTCCAATTTAAATGGAAATATGGTTCCTTGAACTTCCACTGGCAAAATCCAGTCCCTTTCCTTGATTTTGCTTGATTCTACCATACCTATATGTCAGCTGTATGCACTTGAGAGTTTTATGCTTGGGATCTGCAGCACCTGGAAAAAAGTTCCTTTTCTTATAGTTAGAACAGGGCTTTCCATGTTACATGTTACCATGTTTGTGGCCATATTACTTTTCACACTTGATTCACATCTACTTCTTTCCTCTCTCTCCCTTAGCATTCTCCTCACCAATGGAAAATTCCACTCTGTGAGGTGGCTTCTCACCAGTGGAAAATTCTGCCCTGTAGGGTGGCTTTTTCTTGTCATATTCTTTCATACCTACTGCCCCTTTGGGGATATTCAGTTCTGCAGTCTGCGCCTCCACAGTTTCAGCTGCCCTATACATTTGGATAACCTTTTCTAAGGACAAGTCTCCCTCACACAAAAGCCCTTCTTGTATTGTAATGTCTGCAGTGCCATAAATAATCCTATCTCTAATCAGAGATTCTGTCAAGTTCCCTAAAGCACAGTTATTACTCAAACATGTTAGTTCAGTACTGATCTATACTTTCTCTTCTTGTTTGTTTGCACATAAAAAAGCTGTGTTTTTCAAAGCTCATTCTTTTGGCGCACAGTAGTCCTCAAATTTGGACAGTATTTTACTTAAATTCATATTCTGATCTTCCTTGAAAGTAAAGTGTTGTAAACAGCCAAGGCTTCCTCTCCCACAATATGCAAGAATTGACTTAGCCATTCTTCTTTTCTGCCCTCATGGCTGTTAGTTACCGCTTAAACTTTTGTCTGAATGACCTCCAGTTCTCTGCTATATTGCCTGACATCAGAAAGGCAGGTCAAGGTTAAAAACTTGACTACTTTTCTGTTTACTTAGACTGTAACTGTGCCGGAAGATCACTTAAAGAGGCCCCTGTCTTCCATGTGAGTGCACTGCTCAGTTCAGAACTCAAATTCTTTGAAGTTCTTTCTCATTTATCACTTCTGACATCAAAAGGATTGTTGGGTTCAGTAAATGCAGGCATATGTGAATAAGAAGAACTAAACAATGAATTTTATTGTGTAGCAGTAAGTAACCTTTGCAGACCCTTTCTCTCTATAACTCACATCTGTTACCTAACTGAGGGACCATCTCCCACTTACTTAAATTGGGCATTCTAAATTAGGGAGTATCTCTAAACTATGACTTTTATCACTAGAGTCCATAGGCAGCTATTGAGCCAAAGCTCTCTGCCCGGTTGAGTAGGGAATTTTGCTTTATTACAACAAAGTCATTTTTTAATACAACAACATCATTTTTTTGACATTGGTATATGTCAGGAATTACCACTCCTTTCTGTTGTGCATTTCCTTTCAATACTGCTATTGAATTAGCTCATAGAATACAGTTATTTCCTTATGATTCTGCTATGGAATTAACTCGTATATTATGGTAATGTTTACTGATATATACCTCTACCTCCACCTGGCTCTCCCACAAAAAATAATTATTACCAAAAATCAGGCCAAGTTAGAGTATTCATTAGTTACTACAGGCAGCTCCAGTCACAAATGTATCTTATATTTGTACATCCTTTGTCAAAGAGCAATCATATCTATTCAGTTTTACTTTTGTTTTCCTAATCTCAAAAAAATATAGAAATGAAAATACAAAAGTAATGTGTATGAGAGTGAACAAGTGCATGTCTATGTACACCTGTGTGAGAGAAAGACAGAGATATGCTGGAGTGTTGGAAGAAGATGCCACAACTCAGAATTAAACAGCTATTTTATTTATATATGGAAAATTTCTTAGTAATTTAAGGTGCAGTGCACAGAACCCAATGCCAGATTTACATAGCTGCATCACCACATAATTCCTAGGTGGATTCCAGTGCAGTTAAAATAGGTACTCATGTGAGCACTTCTAATCTTCTATTTTGTTCCTTGTTAGGCATTAGTGGTATTCATGTGAGACCTCTACTTGGCAAGCGGCAGGTTGTTTAAAAGAGGTCTCACTAAAATCCTCTTAGTTTCCCCATCCACTCATGTCAATAAGCCTTTTGCGAAGAAAATGCATTTTTTTAAAAATACCATTGGGAAGCATTTTTTAAAATGCCTTGGGAATGCTTTTTTTTTTTTTTTTTTTTTTAAATACCGTTGGGCCTCCTAATGATGTTTACTGTTCCAGGAGAGATTTTCTTAGATTGCAAAGCCTCCTATTTGTCTGTGTGTCCTTTTACATATACAGGACAATGTCTCACACCAGTTTAATCATCTCAGAAGTGCAGCCAAACAGTCTGCCAAATCAGTGCACGCTGTCAGCCAGCAACAGGTTTGATTGGCTGTGGAAGCATCTGCTATAGATTACTGTGATACTCTTGTTGCCTACTTTTGTTCCCAGTGGTTACAGCACAAACTGTACAGATGTAAGCCTCAGTCATCATAACAAGGTCTCAGTCCTTACGTGCCACCCAAAACTTTAAAAAGTCACATCAGTTTGCCAATCCTGGCTTTGTGGTTTGCTGAGTGATTTAGCACTAAAATGAGCCAAGCCATCTGAAATGTTTTACTGGTATCATATGGTCCATGCTGTGGAAAACCATAGGGAGGTGGAAAACATATAATGATGGCCTCTCCTCCCCTCAAGGGACTTTCTTCCCAATTCAGGAGGGAGAGGAATTCTCTTTATGTGGCTCAGAAAGAACTCCTTGCTCTAATAAAAGGGCTGGAAACAAAACATCAACAGACGACAGATTGCCAAGGTCAAAGCCAAGAGATTGTCAAGGTAGAGACAATGTTCTCCTCCACTTAGTAAAGGCTATGGGCGCTTTATAGGATGCCAAGGGCAGCAATGATAACATCCCACTGCAGGTGCAATTGAAGCAGGGTAGAGCCTCTCTTACGAAGTGACTCTTCCCAGCAAGACTGAGGAGTTTGTATAAATAGTGCTGGGAACTGTTAGATGGGCCTTGAATCAGTCTAGTGATAGAGGGCTTACATCATTTCCTGGAAGAAACCAAAATCGGGAGGTTGAGGTTGGATCTGTTGTTACATCTGGGCCTAAATCTCACTAGCACCATCAGAGCAGTGGAAAGGCCTTTGTGAAAATGTGTTTATTTCCCCCCACCAGTTTATGTAGGGGATGGGACAGGAAAATCAAGTACATCTGTTTTTTCAGCACAGGGGGTCAGCCAGATCTAACAGTTTCTAAAAAACATATTTCATTCCTTGGATACTACTGGCTGAAAGAAGACCCAGGAATCCAGGTGATGACACCAATGCCTAAAATAGCATTACATGGCCACAAACCCCGGTATTTTCCTACTTTTGAATCTGTTTTGGGTGCTGAGGTGACGAAACCAGGGAAGAGTCCACACTTCAACCCTTGCAGAAGTTTGGGGAGACTAAGGTGAAATGTACATCACAGGGCATGTCCCCACAAGCAAGAACATGCTTTTCCCTGGGGACAAACAGCAGTGGCACAATATGTCCCACTGCTACTTCTCCCTGGGGAACGCCCATGCATGTGCACTCTGGCACACAGCACGTTACCCCAGGTGGGGTAGGGGAGGCTGGGGCCAGCACCTGGGCTGCCCCCAGCAGCCTTACCTGGGGGTGCCAATGGCTGCAGCTGCAATGATCCAGCAGCAGGGATCCTGGCTGGCAGCCAGAGCATGGGTCTAGCTGACCAGGCTCTGGTTTTGGGTGGCACACGCTGCTGTCATGTGCACTGCCCCACTTTTTTTAGGTGCAGATTTTTTTGACACCAGGATCTCCACACTGCAAATTAGCAGTGTTGGGAATGCCTGCATATGGGGTGCATGCAGTATGCAGTGCTACTGAGGGGTCTGTGGCGCTATGTACCGCAAGTGCACGCTCATCTGAATGCACCCAAGGAGTCTGAATTTCTGTGGACCAGACTGTGATCCATCCTGTGTCAACCACAGGAGCCTGTCCTGTGATGCACAAAGGCCTATCCTTAGTTGTAGCCTCTATTTCTTCTGAAAAATGAAAGAGAGGGGAGGAGGTTCATGACCTGTCTCTCACTCCCTGCAGGACTTCAAGCAATCTGAAGGCATGTCCACCCTGCAGTCACAACAATGACTTCTCAGTAGGTCAATTTGCCTGCTATTCATGCCATCACTGGTTTTGGTATCTTTACTTTAAACATACACTAAGACTTCCTTGTGGATTACACAGTGACTGCACAGACTGAGCAGCCCCAGGAAAGAGATTGTACCTCAAGCGTTAGAGTCTTGTACTCTCTGAACTGGGGTATCTGGAGCCTGGCTGCCACCTACACAGGTTATTGTGCAGATTACAAAGCCTTCATGCCAGACAAAAAAGCAAAGGCAAGGTAGTCACTCCAGAGACTTCCTTTCTTCAGCAGCAATACAATTTCCCAGTTAAAATGCAGGCACAAATACAAACATCACAGAAGCAGCTTAATAAAGATGAAAATAAAGAACATGCGACCTGTTTCTTGACATTAGCATTTCATGAAAACAAATACAACTTTGAGTTTTACCTGGTGACCTCTTTAAAGGCTAACTGAGAACCCACATACCTTGCTGGAGCACCACAGAGGAGGATCTAATAGAGAGCAGCCCTTGAGGAAATTTTCTAAAGTCTGAAGAGAAATCTGATACAATGTTGTGCTGCTTATGTTCTTTGAGTGTCAACACCTGGACATATGAGCTACCCTAATACTAACTTGCAGGAATTTAAGCTTTGTTTGAGCTTCTAAGCAACCAATTGTAACACAGTAACTTAAGTATGACTTCACAAGGTCTTATGCTAAACCCCAGTAATCTCCCACCATAGACTCCAAGATGTGTTCACTTGCCCTTTTGTACTTGAAATTATTTGGCTACATTCCACAACATATGACATCCTTGTAAAGACGCTGATGTGAACTACTAGAAAAGAGTATTTTTCATGAAGCTATTTATATTTGTTAATACTAATTTATTAATTTAGTTATTTCATTTACTTAGTCATTGACATTACTATTATTAGACACACACGCCTATATTTTTCAGAGTAATATACAGGCCTGTTGTAAGTGAAAGGTAATGGTCTGATGCTTTATTCCTCCCAAATTCTTTTAATCTTCCTCTGAACATTAAGTTTCTGAATAGTACTGACATAAGCCTTCATGCAGCTCTGTTGCCCAGATTATCTTTAAAAATCTTCTCATGATATTCTTCTTCTCCCTTCATGCAGTTCCCTTACTGTACTTCAACAAGTCTGTTTCCCTATATACACTTGGAATGAACTTTGCTTGAATGATGATTGTGAAAACAATAATTTTACTGTAAATGGCAATCAAATAACAAGCTATAACAAGCTGGAAAATTTATCAGTACATCAGTCCCATTTCTTCATATTACAGTGGCACTCAGCAGAGCATGGCTGGGAGGATGAAGTAACACTAAAGTTACGAGTTTACTGAGGAGGGATGTGTACTTGCTGGTACTTACAATAAAGTGAGCACAATGAGATTTGAGGTTTTGGGCATAATTGGCAGATATCAATCTCCCCGGTAATCTGGGTATCTGAAATGGCTGGAGCCCATCTTTGATACCATATGACAGGACTTTTACCATTGACATCACTTAGGGCAATACTGGCCCTTGAAGAGGCTAGTATTGTCATTTTATAGAATGGATTTTTAAAAATAAGGCCAATGGGATTTCACTTATTTTTCTTTAAAACTTTGGGGCCAAACTTAGTCCACAGCTGTGCATGGACATCAATGGATCTTCACTGGGAAGATAAGCATGGTACCATATTTTCTCCCATACAGCATGCACCTTTCCCCCACAAATCACCTCCCGTAAATTGGGATGCATGTTTTAAGTGGGGAAGCTAGCCTTCACTGGGAAAGGAGCACTCCTGGAAATTGTACATATTACGCAGTTGCCATGATGGCTGATACTTGTCCCTGATCAGCAAACTGAAGGGGCAGAGTCTTGTGTTAAGCTTCTTACAGCTGTTGCTACTGGCTGAGCACTGTAGCTTGTGCCTGAAGCAACAACTGAGCTGCTGATAGTATGTTGATGAGGCTTGTTATGTGGAAACAATACTTTATTTACATAAACATACTGTATATAAAAAAAACTACTTACAGGAAAGAACTAACAGTCTTGCTACTGACCTTTGCAAGGATCTGGGATCTAACTTTATATGACAAAGTCCCCTTGGAAACAGTGTCCAGGAAGTGTGGCATCCCAGGAGACAGTCTGAGACACCAGAAAGTTCCTGATTATACACTTCCTGGATGCTCTATGTTCCCAAGAGGACTTATTCTAGGTCACGCAGCCATAACTCTAGAAAAAAATCTTTTTTCTACATTCTGCTTCCCCAAAAACAAGTCATGTGTTATATCTGGGGGCATGTTGTATGTGAGAAAATATAGTACTAGCATTTTTGGTTTCTTTTTTTTTAACCCAAATCTAAGTGAAGAACCCAGCTTCAACAGCATTGTCATCTTAGTCTTGCTTTAAAGACTAAAAACTGGTTTGGCAGTTACTATTAGAAGCCATGACACAAAACAAAACATCTGCTAAGTATATTCCAGTAATATTCATAGCCCCCTGCAGTCTACAGCAGCATATAAACATGGGATGAAACAGTTCCCGCTCCAGAGAACTTACAAATACATGGGTAAGACAGGTAGCAGGTCAGGGAAATAAAAAGTTATCATCCACATTTTATAGCCAGAGAACTGAGGGACAGAGGGCATAGCCCCTTAAAAGGGTCCTGAGTGACACTCCAGCACTGTTCCCAGGCACTCTGTCCATGGATGCATATTCTCAACCCTAATTTCATGGCTGGGAGCAAAGGGGGAGGAACAAATGAGCAGGGCTTGTGTCCAGCCTGTGGTCATGGACTCAATGGTATAGACATGGCCACAAAAAGAATTCTTGATTTCCAGTCTGGTGCCTTAACTTAGGCATCAGAGTAGCCTTCCTCCAGTTCCTTGAATATACTACTTTAATGTAGTCACTTTTCTGACTGAACTGTGCTTTGACTTCTACACTCCAGATTCACAGAAGGGGCAGAAAATTGGTCAGCTTACACTGACCCTGAAAAATAATTACACATTGTGCACATACACAAACACCTATATAATGAAAGCTTTACATTACAGTACCCATTATACTACTGCAAAAGGGAAAGTATTTAGGCTCTATATCATGAAACTAATTATTGTTTTGCAGCTGAGGCAGAGCAGGGTTTCAAATGGGAGAGGATTGTTATCACCATTCGGTTATAGACTTTGTTCTTGTTTATAGAGATTTGGTCACTGGTGCTAAAATACAACTGTGGCTCGCTCCTACCTTATATTTCAGGATGTCACCATATAATGACATGGATGGCCAGTCACTCAGTAACTATGCTGCTGTGAATTATGGAAAATAATTAAGGGAAGGAGAAGACATACCTTACATTTTCTGCAAGTTTTATGTAAAACTTCAGAGGGCAAAAATTACCTGGGGTATAAACATGATGCAGAGTTTTATTGGTCATAAACTTGGCCCAACAATCTTCATTGTAACTAGACATATGTACAAGCTTGTACACAGGCTAATCACAAAGCCCATACATCACTGGGGGGCTTATAGGCTTTGCATTGGATTTAAGATGTTAAGCCAACATTTTCAAAAATCAGGAACCTAAGGATAGGATCCTAGGTCCACCCCTGGACTTGAGTTTTGAAGGCACTCAGTGGCACAGAAAACATTTAAATGGTTATTTTTTATTTGGATAATTTCTTTTAAATGTTTCGATCCATTTTTAGTGTTTGATTTTTATGAGTTTTAGTCACAGATATGGCTCTAACATTTTTCTTCTTTCACCTTTTCCCTGTTTGAGAGGAAGGGAATCAAAACCATCCCAACAACAACTTATTTACTAAAGCGTTTTAGAAATGTCTGCATCTGACAAAAAAATCTTCCCTCGTCAAACTAACCCAAAAGCTTGAAAAGACACTAGAATTTCTGCACAAATTTTTGTTTCTTTCAATAAGCCAATTTTAGTCAGAAAATGTTTTTGATAAACAAAACAAACCTCCATTTCTGAATGGACAACTGTCAACTGCTGGTGTAAATCCCACTTTTATACATGTTACTCCTTTGTACAAGCAAAGGCAGGGTTTGCTAGTGCTAATGATGAAACGCTTATAGTCAAATGTTATATCGGGGTGGCCAACCTTTTTGGCAGGTGTGCTACAAGTTAAGCCCTCCCCTATCCCTGAATGCTGCCATAATCCCTGCCGCTCCAGAGGTATACCTGATAGAGTTGGCACCCTGGGGCAATGGAATGGAGACCAGGGGCTCAAACCTCTGGCAGCAGCTTCATGGAGCAGAGCAGGGGCAGGACACTGCTGCAAAACTGCTAAGAACCAAGTTAATCCATCCCTGGCCCCACAACTGTTGTAGTTTTATATAGCAAATTCAAAGCCCTAAATTTGTCAGGAGCCTCACAGCCAGGGAAGAGTTAACTTGGCTCTTGACAGTGACATTTGACCCCTCCTCTTACAGCTGCACTCCATACAGACAGTCAAAAAGCCTGAGGCTGAATTGATTCAATCTTTTCAGGTTAGTCTAAAATGCAGAGATTAAATTGAAACAGAAGTGAACAGACATTTACCTTTGATTCGGTGAATGCAGCCACATGCTTGCAATAGCTAGGACAGAAGCTGGGGGGTGCTAGAGCATGGGCTGTGTGTTCACTTCCTCTTCCTTCTGTTCCCAAGGTCTCTGGGATTTGCAGCCCACGATCATAACAGCAGGACCTTGCAGGGTTGCTCATCGCTTACTCTTCCTGCTTCCAGGTGCCTCTGGGATTTGTAGTCCACAGTCACAGCCAGCAGTAAGTTTGAACAGTAAGTTTGCCTCAGGGGGCAGCCGCCCCCATCCGTCCCTGCCTTTGTCAGCCAGCCCTCACTGCTCCAGCTAGAGAACAGAGGGATGGGGCTAGCCCTGCTCTCTGGAGCATACAACACAGCCCAGCCCAGGGTGCTGAGGGACTGTGATTTAACTTGAACCAGGAAGGGGTCTGGGACAGAAGTTTCATAAACCAGTTTGATCCAAATCAATTAAGTCTGATACTACATTCAACCAGGTTTATCTTAAAGCAATTTCAGCCATTTTGAAACTGGTTTATGTGCACTGAGCTTCTGTTCTATTACAGTTTAAAACCAGTTTCTGATCACTTAACCTGGTTTATGTGTAGCTTCTGTCTCTAGCCCATAAGAGCACTCTGCTCCAATCCAGCACTTCCCTTTACTGAGCACCAAGACTTTCATGCCACACACAGCAGCTGCCCATTTACCACTTTTGGCATGCATGCTGCAGGTAGGCCACCCCTGTGTTAAATGCTGGCTTTGAGTGCATGGCCCTCCTTCTCTGAGCACCCACAGACCACAACAAAAGGTTCTTGGGAAACTCATGCAATAGTAAATGTCTTCCACAGGATCACTTCTGCTGACTTTTTATGTTAGAGTACAGTCGTCTTCCTATGGTGAGGAACACAGTTATAATTGCAGCAGAGTAAGGATTAAAGCCACATGATGAAAAGTTGGCTCCTCCATCATGTGTGTTTGAGATCAAAAATATCCCAGTTGTGTCACAGATTCACAGAAAATTAGGGCTGGAAGGGACCTTGTG